CCTGCATCATCACTGAATTCAATGGGAGGGAAAATAGCAGGAGCACATGGCAAGGGGGAGTGGGATTATATGTAACGTCAAACTGCACCCTTGGGCTAGATATTAGGATAATCTATCTAATGGCAAGGATAATGAAGCACTGAAATAGGCTGTCTAAGGAGGGTGTGAAATCTACCTCAGTGGTGGTTTTTTAAGAACTAGACACACATCTACTGGGAGTAATTCTGACACAGTCTGGCCTTTTTCCCATGGCTGGGGTCAACTAAGTGATCAACTTCTTGAAATACTATCTGATCCCACTTTCTGTGATTCGTGCAACTTCTTGAATAGATACAAGCAATAAGATTAGTCTTTTATGTTATGATTTAAAAGTGTTGCCCACTTGCCATGTAGATTGTTCAGTGACTGGACCTGGTATATGGGAAACAGAGAGGAGTAGCAGTCCTGAGCTTTGTCCACAATCAGCAAGGTTAATGCACTTTAAAACTGCCATTTTTAAGTCCTGACTGGTGTGATTTTGAAGTGCTTCTGTTAGCACACAAGAGCTCCAGTGTGTTTCATGAGCTATGGAGATACTGTTTAGACTAGATTTGCTGTTGGCAAGGGTGTGTTCTGTCCCCCTTTGAACCATTTTAGGACTAATAAGAACAGTCCTGGACTACAGGTAGACCACTGTTACTGTGAGGTAGACTCTTCTTCCAAATGTAATTGTGTATAAATTTAGTGATTACCTATTGAGAAGTTAACCAGATCAGGAAACTTTTGGGGAAGAACTAGTCCAAAAGCAGGGCAAAACTAGAATGCTTTGATTTAGGAACTGTGGAGGCAGTGAACTGTTTGTGCTGAAATATATGCCATGCTGAGTCATTTGGGTCCTGTTCAGTTATCTAGAATAGGCATATTCTACCTATTGTGTTTGTCTGTGCTACTTAAAAAAGCCCAAACAAACAAACCCCGGGAAAAAAACCCGACGAAAACAAAAGAAAGAACTTTTTTGGGGGAGCCCTTTTTTTTTTTTAATCCCCTTTCCTGATTCTTGGGGTAGGCAGCATGCACAAACCACTCAAGCAAACCATGAAGAAGACAAGGCACTTTTAATTCTTCTGGGAGATCTGCTTTGGGCCCACAGGAGCTAGAAGATTGTCAAGGGTGAACACAAAGCGTTTGTCTACTTAAGAATCCATTTCAGGATAACTATACCAAGATTTGAAATGCAAGCTTTCTTTTTAGGTATGTTCTGTTACGTGTCTTCTGGGTAGCATTCCTTAATCCTGCCTTCGTCTTTTATCAGAAGGCTCAAAGCGTTAACAAAGTATTCCAGTGACTTGGGGCAGGGAAGAAAAGCATGTTTATGTATTTTTCATTCATGTGTGCTAGTAAAAAAAAAAAAAATTGGAATACTGCTTTTCTCTTCGTCAAGAGTAATATGGGAAGGTGATACAATTTCCAGCCTTTCTGACCACAAATACTTCTTTGGTCTGACTTCTCTTTCTGTGTCACTTTGGTTTTGAATGTAGAAGCAGGTTTGACTCATAATGAACACTAAAGTACTTGACTAATTAATCTACTAAAATGTGGTTGCTTTCTGAAAAGTAACTGTAGAATGGCATTGTATGATTCTTAGCTGGGACATACAAACTTTTCCTTTTCAAATTGTCTGTCGTGCAGTCCTAAACAGAATCAGCAAAATAAGATGGAAGTGAAGCTATTTCCACTTTGTAGATGTCAAACTTATTACTTCCGGGACCATGAATAAAAAATTACAAATTTAAGACTTTATGTGGGCTTCAACTTCCAGAAAATCCTCATGTGTAGCCTTGGTAGCTCATATGAGGCCATCTATCCAGGTTTCCCGGATGTATAGTAAACCTGTTGCTATTGGTATATGCTCTGTATCATGTCAAGAACATACCTTTGCCATACAGTTACTCTCTTTTGGGGAGGATTGCAGAGTTATCACAGGTTTGTGCAGTGAGCCCAGTGCTTTTTGAAAAGTGTTGAGTGGCTTCTGCTTCACATATTGTAGAATTGGTGTACATGCACGATAAATCCACCGTAAATTGAAAGCATCTTAATTAATCTGCATTCACTGATCAACTGTACAGACAATGCTGTAGGCCTGGAGTTTCCTATAATTCTCAGACTTGTAACTCATGTTGCATAATGTCCATGCACTCTGTGTCTGATGAATCACAGTTCCTTTCTACAGAGCGTAAAAGCTCAGTATGTTCGTGTTTTCTTTGCTGTCTCCCTCTATACCTGTCCATACATGTGCACCTCCCTCCTTTCTTACCTCTTATTCTAAGAGTCAGGTTTTGGTAGTGGAAATTGCATTTGCTGGTTTGCACCTCTCATGGCTTCAGTCACATAAGACTTGCCATTTCTTGGGTGTATTTGCCTGTGACTTAACACTTCTTGTTCTCTTGTATGAGGATGTAGAGACTGATAAAGTGTTGTTCTGCCACAAATCTTCCTCTGTGACTGGACACATTGGTAAGGCTTTTTCTTTCTGGTGGAACTGGCCTTAAGTCAGGAGTATTTCTGGAATAGCTGAGTTGGAGTTAGAAGGGAACACACTTCCAAGTCAGTTAACATTATAATTTTATTAAACTCTTCTGTCTCAGTGGGGTATGAGAGGAATAAAACTGAGGCATGAAACAAGGATGTAGAAGTTCTTGAAGACAAGTATGTGCAAGACAGTACATAGATGGAGAAGGGACAGAATTGCATGAGTGTGAGGAGCATTTAAAAGCTGCTGAACTGGAACATGTACGACCTCAAAGGCAAACATAGCTCTCAGACTGCTGTAGTGTTGGATTCTCAGTAGTGGGGCCCTTTGTACCAAAGTCTTGTGGCGATCTAGGTGTCTGGGAAGAGAGAGACATTTGGATTCAGTAGGAAGAGTTGCTTCTAAGCTGGAGGCAGAGGAAGCAGCACTAAGATATAGGAACTTACGAAAAAGAAGGTAGTGGCAACTTTTCATACTGTCAAAGACTTTCCTGCACAGGTTGCAGTTTATCCTGCTCCTACCATACCGTATGCATGCTGGAAATGTTTGTTTCTTTGGGTATCTTCATTATTTTTTTTCGTGTCTGGATTAGGTGGGTAGTGGAAATGAGTATGAGTTTGCTGTTAAAATGAGACACCTAGATGGCTGTGCTGTCAGGTAGGAGGATGTGTAGACTTACTGCAGCGGTTTTGCAAATTGATTTGCAATGGGTAACAATTAACAACAGTATGCTATTATGTTTTGCCCAGAAATGTCTTTTACAGAAGTCTTGAAAGACAATAAATGTAGTCTGATAGAAGCAATGTTGGGGTTCACCAGCCTTAAATGTTGCTTAAGTTGTTTGCCAGGTAGCGATAACATTAAGACCTGGCTGTTGGCAGCTTTGGAAAGTGACCACTTTAAGTGTGACAGTCACTTCCTGAATTTAGCATGACTAACGTGGTCGTATGTTTCCACAGTCATGTATTTCTGTGTCTCCTTATTAGTAGCTCATCTGCAATTGCTGCAGTGCAAATACAACTTTCTCCCCTATTTGTAGACAGAAAGGAATCTAAGCTTCCATTAGTTTGGTTGATCATAAATTACTGTGAGTTTTTCCGGACCCATCACATTTGACTCTTATTCCCAGTAGTTATCAAATGCATCACAAATCTTTTTATCATGTATTCTTGTTTGCTCTGTAAAGTACAAAATCAGGAGGAGGAATACACAATTAATTTCATGGAGCAAGGGTAAGCATAGCATGCAGCTGTACTGTCTATCAAAGTGATTGTCATAAAATCTGTTAGGAGACTTAAAGGCTGAGAGACTGTTATCTTAAAGGATGTTTGACATAACTCAGTTCCATGAGAAGACTTCTTAATAGCATCATATGATGTGAAAAGTTTTAAGGAATCTGATTAACAGTAGTCATGAATTCTATTTATGCATTTACCTCTTCTTAAAGTAAACCACAGACCAATTAATTTCAGTTTCCTTTTGTCTCTGTTTCATGCCTTTTTCCTTCTGGACAGCAGCTCGGAAGGCGCTCAGTTTATGTTTTTGATTGTGCAAAGAAGCAGTAAAATGTTTTAACTGAAATCAGCATGTTTCTAGTGGCACTTTTGACTTGTGATGCCATTCTCTTTCATTTGTTATTGAAGACAGACACCAGAAATATTTTGAGTCTGACTTGAAGAAGCTTTGTTCAGATTTTTACAGGCATCCAAAATTGATGTTGAGAGTGCTGTCCAGTACAATAGTACCTTCAGTTTTTTTCTCTTGCTAATAAACAATAGTTTAATGCAATTGAAGCATGAACAGAGTCTAATATTTGTTTTATATCTGACTGTTTACCAGACAGAGAAGGCGGCACTTAAATGTGTGTAGAGCTGTAAACTGAGAGCTGGACCTAGACAAGCAATTAGAAGAAGACTTCTGAATGCTTCAGCAAAATGTTTTTGTGGCCATATGTCAGTCCTGTAGCCAACCTATGCTTTGAAGGCTTTGCAAAGACTGCTAGAGGAGATAGTTGTTGGTGAAAGGAGAAGAAAAGTTCCTGTTTGATGGATAACATAAGCGATGCTGGCAACAAGGAGTTGGTGTAGAACCATTTTGCCAACATGCATATGTTAATCTGGCATGTAATTAATCTAAAGCTTACCACAGAATTTTACATACCAGTAAAATTCTGAGTCTCCAGGTTGCTATAGGTTGTCAGTATGTGTTGGCAGAATGGCAGGTGTTTAATCCCAAATTTTTCCGCTGATTACTCCGTTTTC